CAAGTGCCACGCTACTAGGAGCAAGAACGCTACTAGGGGCTCCTGGCCGTACTACTAAGACTGGTAACAAGAAGCTAGTAGGAACAAAGGAATAACAAGAACTGAAAAAGCAGAGACCCACCTCAGTGTGTTCTTTCCTCATTGCGCTTCATTGCACCATTGCAGAGCTTGGATGGAGTGTGTTTGTGCTAAGATCCTGGTCTTGTGCCTTTGCTTGCTATGGCACACAATTCAGACCTGGTTTGGTGATGGTTCCAATTTCTCTTTGATGGCGCCCAAGTCCTATCGTGGCATTGTTGCCACTCCTTCACATCACCATAGGATTACCTTGAACATGTTTCTTCATGTGCCTTGGATCAAGAAGCTGTCTCTAAAGTTTGTGACCGCCGCGTTTTTTCAGTGATTGCATCATGCTACGTGGCACAGTTTAAGCCCAAAGCCAAGGATGTTGCCATTATCATGCTTTTTGCAGCTGTTGGCTACGCAGTTCCTCGGAGAAATCATCCCAATTCGTGATTGAATTCGAGAATTGACATCCCCCGGCCCAGATTGGCATTGTTAGATTCTTTAGGACTCTTCTTGATTCTTGGCTAAGCTTTCTGCAAGGGTGATATGCTGGCCTCATGGTGTATGGCTTGCCTAACTTGGGGACGAGCCTGTGCTCAGGCGGCGTATTCTCAACAAAGATGGCTTTGTGTGCCACATGCTGTAGAAGAAATTGCACCTGGCCCACCCAGCCCGCAGAATGGAGCTTTGTTAGCAGCTGGGAGTCTTGGCCTGATTATGCTGAGATGCTACTGGGAGCTGGAAAAAAAAGCGATGGCCAACCTGATGTACTTCGTAAATGCAAGGTCCAACCGACGGCCATTCGAGATCTAAGGCTCTATGGGGCGAATATCGCCTACAATGTGATCAACAAGCGCGTGCTGCTGGCCCATCCACATCCTTGTTTGGCTCCTCGCAAACTAGTAGTAACAAGAAGCTATTAGTAACAAGTGCCTTACTAGTAGTAACAATGTTCGCTACTAGTAACAAAGGGCATCGCTACTAGGAGCAAGGACGCTACGAACGGGGCTCCTGGCCTTACTAGGAGCAAGAGGACGCTACTAGGAACAAAGGGCATCGCTACGAGAAGTCACTGATCCGATCAGCCAAGGTCACCGGCATCAATTTGCTCTCTTCATCACTTTGCTGCATAGCGTGCTGGATGTTTGGTGTTATGCGTTTTCCTCGCACATTGAATTGGTCTTTCTACTTGCCACTGGGCAAAACATCTTTGTTCTGAAAGGTCGGGCCTTCCGTTTAATGAAAGGTGATTCATTTGTGAACACGTACCTCCGTGAAGACCAGTTTAGGTCCAAAAGCCTGTTGCCCCACCACTTGTTTTTTTGTTTGCTTTTAACATCCTTGATTTGTTTGCATTTAGATACATTTTTCTTGCTTTGTTTCTCCCTGTCTTGTAGACGCAAAGAAACCTCGTCTCCCTTTATTTCTCCAAGTGTGTTGCACAGAATCCGAACGTCTACACTGAATCCCACTCACCCAGAAGCCCCTAGTAGCGATGCCCTTTGTTCCTAGTAGCGTCCTCTTGCTCCTAGTAGCGATGCCAGGAGCCCCTAGTGGTGTTCTTGTATCCTTTATCAACGCCCCCCCCAAGGAATCGATGGGACTTTCCACCCCTTCCAGCCTTCCTCAGGAAGTTGATGGGGTTGGCAGTGCTACATTGGAGCGGCATGCTGTTCTCCAACATCTCAGTATCTGAAGTGCACATCTCTTTCACTCACACCGTCAAGGCACGCAAATGCACGAAGTTGATTCTTGTACCTCAGGGAAGATGTGCTCGGAGAAGAGGACAAAAGGAAGAAATTAGTTGAAGGTGGCTGAACATGTGAGGCCGCCGAACCCTTTTTCACTGCGGTTTTCACTGCGGTGCTCATTGGGAACAAGCCCACCATCCGCCGCTGGACACAAGTTGTGTGGTCCACGACATGTGTTTGTTGTTGCTCCCAGGAGCCGCTTACCATAGCGATGCCCTTGTTACTAGTAGCGATGGCCTCCAACCTACTTGCAATGGCCTCCACCCAATAGCGTCCTTGCTACTAGTACTGTAAAAAATCTTTTCCGGTTTGCCCAGTGTGTTTGAGATTATTGGGGAGGCGCTTGGATGAGCTTGTTGGTGGTCATTGCGGGCATTGTGGTCGCTTCCACTGCTGAGATCTCGCAGCTTGGACGAGCTTTGTGTTTAGAGATTTCTGTTCACACTTGTTCTCCCTCAAAATCACCTTGAAGAATGTCAAAAGAAGCGGAACAAGGGTGAGCGTGATGCAAATACATGTACCTTGTGAATGAACAATTGCAACAGTGGTACGGGTTCGATGCACCCTGGATGTCTTTGTGTCGAGACCAACCCAGAAAGCATATTGCTGTTCCTTTCTTGATGTGCCCAGGAGCCCCTAGTAGCGTCCGATCGCTCCTAGTAGCGATGCCAGGAGCCCCTAGTAGCTTCTTGTTCCTAGCAGTGCCAGGAGCCCGTAGTAGCGTCCCTCTTGATGTTCAAACAGTTTCCGGCCTGCGCAGTCTCCTCCGTGGACTCATTCGCCAGGTTTACTTGGCGTGGCTTTTGGGCGGCCATGATGTCCAACGTGGTGGTGGCATTGAGGAGACGGCGACGAGAGCGCATTCGCTCCCAGAGTGCGTGAGAGAGGGTTAACAGAAATTTATGTTTATCATATGTTGTGTTCAACAATGTCTTCCGCTAGACCTTTCAATCAAATCATTTTGGCCTATTATTATCATTGTTATTATCATGTTGTTCCTCCCTCCCTTCCTCCCTTCCTCCCTTCCTCCCTCCCTCCCTCCCTCCCTTCCTTCCTTCCTTCCTTCCTTCCTTCCTTCCTTCCTTCCTTCCTTCAAGCTAGCTTCATGAAGCTCAAAAAAGCATGAGTTCAATGGCATCATCCGCAGTGATCCATCTATCACTTGATTGTGACTTAGCATTCCGACCCGGTTAGCCTAAAAAGACGGGGGAGTATTGTTTTGTGTTTCGTTGTGCAGTCTTCGGCGAGGACTGTTCTCACGAAGATGGCCATGGACCGACACGTTCTTGACCCCTTGAATTTCCAAGCTCTTCTGCAGTGTGCGGCATTCATCGCTCCTTCCCAGATCTAAAGTTAGATTAAATAGTTAGATTATATTAGATTGGATGTGATTGGCCAGAGTTTTTGACTTTGCATAGCACTAAGTCCATGCTTGAAAACCTGTCCCCAGGTTTCAATCCCCGTAGCCCTGCTCTTCAATTTGTCGCCCGGCTGGGTGAAACGGCAACCCATGATGCACAAAGAGACGCGAAGCCCTTGCTTAGGCATGCGGTGCGAGAAATCGCACAGGACACAGCGGCTTTGCCTTCAATACTCCTGATAGGACCACTGGCGCCTTCCTTAGACTTGGATTGCCCCACATGCACTTGTCACAAGGTCTGACAGGTTTACGACATCCTGGGATCTCTCAGTGGTGATTGTTTTGCTTCTTGTTCCGTTCGTAGATGCCCTTTGCTCCTAGTAGTACTGTCAGGAGCCCCTAGTAGCGATGCCAGGAGCCCCTAGTAGCGAACATTGTTGCTAGTGCTTCAGGTTTGGACCTTCAACGTTGCATCGATTGTGATTCTCGTTCACACCACTACGGTTGTGCACTCAATGATCCGATCAATGCGGAGACCTCTACTGGTTCTGGCGTCCATCATCACGTAGCTTCGGCACAAGGGGCTGTTCTAACATCGCACGAGTAGAATTGGTGGAGTCCACAAGTGCTTGTTCGCTACGAACCGAGCATTCGTCAGGTTTGGAACTAGCATCACTCATTTGAACGCGCTCGGGATCATGTTCACGCTCTTCGGCGCCTTCTGGTATCGCTATGAAAATGAGATGGTGAGAAATGGTCAATCTGGATCACTCTCCAAGATCCCCCGACAAACCTCAGACAAGCTGAGGCAAAATGCAATCCCATAAGGCCATGAGGCAATCGACTTCAGGTCCACCAGGATGCCATGCTTCACCCAATGTGTGAGACGACTTGCTTTTAGAGACATTTTCAATCCACCTAGGTCACTCAGTGACTTAGTACACACCTAGGTCTCAGTCTGCCTCATCTGACTCTTTTCCCAACTTCTGTCAGATGAAGTTCCATGAATTTTTGTGAAATCTTGCAATGCGTTTGCAAAATGGTGCTGGAACAGCACAAACCCAAAACGAACAGCACAGCGCTGCAGTTTCACAGCCTCTTTGAGGCAACGAGGCCTCAGCGGTGAACTCTCGACCCATAGAGCTGCCAATTGGAGCTTGACGGAGTGGTTCCATGTTCGGTAAGCCTAGCATGTACTTGGCTTTGACCATTCAAAGATCAAAATAATTTTATTATGTGTTAGTTTTTCAGATGGAATGCTCATCTAACATGATTGTTCGAGCTCTTTGGACCCTGTGGCAGCTTTGAGAAATCCGTGCATTTGAGCAACCTCAAACTCACCCTCATGCCGCAAAGGGAACCGAAAAGGGTGTTTGCTCACTCTTAGGTTGGAGGGCGTCACTATTAGGCTGGAGGCCATCGCCATTAGTAGCTACTTGTTCCTAGTAGCGTCCTTGTTCCTAGTAGCGATGCCAGGAGCCCTAGTACCGTCTTTGCTCCTACCCCCCCCCCCCCGCGCCCACGCGCGCGCGAACAGGTCCCTAGTAGCCTCCTTTGCTACTAATTACACTTAATTCTAATTAGATTCTATTCTAAATTTTGTTTCTAGTAGCTTCTTGCTCCTAGTAGTAAGGCCCTTTGCTCCTAGTAGCGAGGCCCTTTGTTCCTAGTAGCTACTTGTTTGCTTGTCCAGTTTGTATCCGTTCGTTTTGATCCTTTCGGAGCAACCTCCAGAGAGCAACGAGGACGCCTTTGGGCACCTCGAGCTTAACCAAAAGCCGTTTTTCCATAGCTGGTTTGCCTCCGGTTTTTGAACTTTACTCTTTAAAACTGAGTTTGAGGTGCCCCATCAACCTTGTTTTGTTGAGACTATGCCGCAGCTTGCTAGGGCTTTATGGCTAGCAGGTGCTCACAAGTAGCAAGTAATATTGAAAATCTCCTTCAACCCCTTCATTCACAAAAATGTGGGGCTGGATTGAGCATGCAGGGATATTTGGAGCATGATGGACATGCTATTACAAATTTGAACACAAAGGACGGAGATGACAATGGCAGATGACAAGGGTCTTGCAATTGATGCCAATTAGATGTATGATTTAGTACAAGCTCCATGTCCTTCTACTAGTCTGCCAGTCTCATGTGTTTCCTAGCCCCTTGCGGACCTTGCGGACCTTGCGGACCTTGCGGATGCATGTTTTGATGCGACTGTGGCTGATCGACATTCTCATCTCGCCAGTTCTGGCCATCCAAGGGGTGAGCCCTGCGGAAGTGACACGCTATCAGGGGCAAACCTTCGTTTGCGAAGAGGGGCCACTTGTTGGAAGGTGTCCACCTTTGTGTCTAAGACGCCATCGATTTCTGGTTCTGGTTTTTGTTGGTGTCAATGTTGCCTGGTCCTCTAATGTCTTTACCTCT